TTTTTCCACATACTTTTGAGAGTTCTGAATAGCCCGTCGCTTAAATAGTTGGAATCAACACTCGCCCGTCTAAAAAATTCGATTTTGGCGAAAGTCGACTTTTTCTCTGGAAATACGGAAAATCTGACTCTTTGGCTCGGGGTGAAAAAAAAATTTTATTTCGACATTTGTCGCGCCTTTGGGGGTTTCATTGGCATCAGAATTGTTAGAAAATACAGAATCATCTTTCACTTGGCGAAAAAATTCAATTTTGGCGAAAATCGACTTTCGCCATTGACCCACGTGAAAATGAAAAAATTTTTTTCCCCTTTTCTGTCACCTCCGAGGGTTTCGTTGGCATCAGGGGGTCAATAAATACAGAATCAACTTTCACTATTTTTTATTTAAACACCGCCTGCAAACGGGGAGATGAGGGTGGCTAAAATATATTCTGCAACCCTGTCTCCTCGTTGGCTACAAATTTCAACCCTCCGCATACATGCTTTCCCCTTCACCCGCTCGTAAAATCGCGCGTTCTCTGTAGCATCGAGGAGGACTTCTCAGAGCCGAAAAGAACTGAGGATTCGAAAGGTCTCTGGAAAAGTACGTCGCAGAACTGATTACGACTTACCAGGTCCATCTAGGTCTGGCGAGATCTTGAAAGACCTGTGTACGTCCAATCAGAACCAAATCCTCGACTCTGGCAAACGCTCGGTATTTTTTAACCTACAAAACTTGATACCCTAATTTGTTTGCAACGAAGCTATCGAGAAATACCCGATAATTTTGAAACTCTTGAGGTATTACTACTGATTATTTTTCTAACCCAAATATCGGGCAATATAATTGGCCCATTCGACATCACGTCGTACAATTTACAGGGTTTTCAACTGATAATTTTTTGATAATTTTCTCTAGTCGTTGCTATATAAAAAACAAAACATCATACAGTCGAATTAACCCCTCGTCCAACTGACAGATTGAATTCAATTGTGGTAATCCGAGAATTTTTATTCGAAATGAGTGTTAATTATACAATTTTCGTTTCTCAATTGTGAGTTTCGTCTCATGGTCCAATTATATTGCCCAAAAATAATCCCGCTAATACCACACGAGCTTCAAAATTAATCGGGTATTTTCCGATAGGTTCGTTGCAAACAAACGAAGGAGTCAAGTTTTTCACGTTAAAAAATCACGAGTGCGAAGCACGAGTGAAAAACCCGATAATTTTGAAGCTCCTGTGGTATTACAAGTGAATATTCCCTCCTAGCTTTGCAATTGTTTTTTTTTAAACCAAATAACTGCCAAATATCGTAGTAATGCCCTATACATGGCCAGGTCCAAAGTCCAGAAATCATTCTCCCAATACCACTCAATCTCCAAAATTAATCGGATATTTTCGTTAAGCTTCCCTGTAAAGAAACGAGTGTGTCAAATTTTGCAGAAAAATCCCTTGTGCTGCGCACTCGGGGTTTTTGATTCGTTTGCAACGAAGCTTTCAGGAAATATCCAATAATTTTGAAGGTGTCGAAGTATTAGTATTGATAATTTCATCCTAAAGCATCCGATGAATACCAATCGATACTGAGAAAATCAGTAGTGAAGCGGTAAACCGGGTCAAGTCGATTTTGACTTTTCGTCAGTTTTTGACGGATATCTCGGAACCTAAGAGAGATAGCGAAATTTTGTTCATAACCTTTTTTATAACACTTAATTGCATCTACAAAAAAGGTTATGACAAAAAAATTTCTATCTCTTTTAGATTCCGAGATATTCGTCAAAAACTGGCCAATAATCAAAATCGACTTAACCCGGTTGACTGCTTCGCTACTGAAATAGTGCATTTCGACATAAGGCCTAAATAAACTTTTCCGGCAAATATGAGTTGCAATCATATCCACATCTCCTTGTAAAACAAGGGGATTTCAATTTTCGTTTTAAAACAAGGGTATCTCAAAATTCGTTTTAAAATAAGGGTATTTCAAAATTCGCGTTAAGACTAGGGTATCTCAAAATTCATGTGAAAGTTGACTGTTCACATCCATTTCTAAATCTCCTGGAGCTCGCAAATCATTTTGCTTCTCTTCCAATGTGAACTACTTCATGTTATTTGTACTTTCTGATGCATTTATACCATTCATACAGCTGTCAAGAGAATGAAAATGTGAGATTTCAGACGATTTTTCATATGAATTGTGAGATACCCTTGTTATAAGAATAAAATTGAAATACCCTTGTTTTATTAGGAAACGTCGATATGAGCTAGAAAAGTTTTTTAGAAAAGTACGTCTTTACAATTAAATTACGTTTAGCAAACTATAAATTACGCTTAGCAAAATGTAATTTACGTTTAGGTTTTTCTCTGTGCAGAAACTTTTTTTCGGCGTGTATGATTAGTCATTTGAAGAAGTGCCTTGATCAAATAAAATTATCATAGTATTACAAACATCAGATACCAAATCAAAATCCTTCCAAGCGATAATTAGCAGAGAGAGAGTAACGAATCACGAGATAACTGTGGGCAGACCACCGGCTCAGACTAAGATTTCTCAAGTCATAAAATGTTTTATCTCAACTGAGAGATGATAAAGACACACCTATATACATTTGCCAGTAACTACGTACATGTCTCACGGGAGGATACAGGTGTCAGCTTATCGTTGCAGTACTCTTCATCCCGTTCCCCGTTTCCGGTAAATAGCCGTGTGCCTCGTGCCCGAAAACGAGAGAATAGGAGCGTAGAAAGAGAGAGAACATCAAACGCTGAATAATTTTCGCAAACAGATTGCAATAAAACAAACCTCCTGTTATCTTTTCTCTTTGTTAAGGATACGATTGGACGTTACTTCCGGTTACTTCAAGAGCTGGAGGACGCAGGAGTACTCATGTAAAGAGGCCCATGAATGCCTTTATGGTGTGGGCACAGGCAGCGAGACGAAGATTAGCTGATCAATATCCACAGCTTCATAATGCTGAGTTATCGAAGACTTTGGGAAAATTGTGGAGGTAATCTTACAGAAAATAATGAATTTATCAATGTGGATATGTTAAGGATGTTTATCCATTTTTCAACAATCTAATTTGTTCATTTTTGAGGAAACATCAGTAATTTTTTAGATTGGTGGGGAAACATGTGAAATCGAGTCATTTCCAATGATTAGAAAATAACTCGCATATTTTCTTTAGCAAAAGGTAGGGTAAAATGGAACTTTGCAAATTTTCAACAGCTGCTAAATGAATGAGACGAACGAAACTAAATGGTACACGGAGAGAAATATTCAGTGAAAATTACGGAAAAATTCACGTAATCCGCAATGGGGAATCGTTTTCCAGTAGTTTTTATAGGAATGGAAGAGAAGAAATCTGAAACGTTCAGTGAATTTTCAGGTTCATCATCGAACAAAGTGCGAAATAGTCACGTAATTTTTCCCGAAGAAGTAAAATCTTACAGAAACTTCCCGACTTATTATGCCTCCAAAATCAAAAATTCTTGAACGTTCAACAAATTTTATGAAGCTGGTGTGTTATTTCTACGTTTAGTTCCGTAAAATGTCTCAATTATTGGGGAAAAATTACGGAACGACTTGTTGTCCCTACAGAGGTGAGTCATCAGACGGGCGGTTAATTTTTACGGAACAAATCGTAGAATTTACTTGGCGATTCGTACAATTTCAGTTCCGACTCACACTTTTTATTGAATTTTACTCCGCTCGCGGATTACGGTTCGCAACGTAACGTTTACGTTTCTTTCTGGTAATTTTTATTGAATTTTTCTCTCTGTATATTTTGATGTATAGAAAAAGATGTTGCATATGACCCAATATCTATTGAAGTCTTCTCTGGCGCTTTCCAATTATTCACGATTTAAAATGGTCAATTTTGTTATACTCTCCCGAAGTTGGATGAATATCTAAGATTTTCAAGTCATACTCTATTCAGTTATTAGATTCTGGGTACTTCTTTCACATTGTCCCACGGTTCAGTCATGTTTCTTCGCCCCGGCGGACGCAAAGTACACATTTCTCTCTCGCTTCGCGTGAGGGAAATCTGACTTTGCGCCTACGCGGAAGCGAAGATACGGTTTTAACCACGCGAGGTAAAATAAAGGACCTTACCCACGTGATTAGGGTAACTCGGCACGTGAGCAACACGGATAAAATTATTTGGTGAATTTCGACAACTAGTTGTTGAAATTCATCAACTGATGGTAGAAATTCATCAACTGGTTGATAATTCATTTTTTCAACAACTAGTTGGTAAAATTTAACAATGAATTAATTGATTTCGAATTTTTAATAAAAAAAATTATGTGACATTTCAATGAAAAAAAAAATTCTAACGAGTTCACGGGAAGTTTCAGTCAAAAATTTTCGACAATGTTATCTATAAAAAGCAACCAGCTTGAACCTCTAATTCCATAAATTCAATAACTGGTTGATAATCCATGTTTTCACCAACTAGTTTGTGAATTTCATCAAATAATTTCTTCCGTGAAGATTTCTTTATTTTACCTACCTAGGTGAGAAATATGCTATTCTACACCATAAGGAAGATCAATCCCCTATGAAAGAGAAATGTTTCTCTTTTTCAAATTTCCCTTAAGACAATTGTTTTGTTGCCACAGGATTTTAAGCGATGGTGAAAAACAACCCTTTATTGAGGAAGCTGAGCGACTGAGAAATGCACACAAGAAACAACATCCTCATTACAAGGTATTCAATATTTTTATTCAGCATGCTTTGTCTTGCATGACTGCTGTCGGATTGAAAAGTACAGGCCCCTGGATTTTAAGGATAATCGGGCAAGGAGGAAATGTAGGAGGTGAGGCGGAGTGGTTTCTATTGTTTTACTGCAGAAAACCAATCGCTGAACAAAAAAATTTTCCCCATTCGGATTCAAAATTCAGGCAATATTAGGGAGTATCTCCGGTTAAAAATTATTTTTGGAGCTAATCAAATTTATTTGCATCTGTTCCACGCATTGAATGGTTTTCAGATTGTTTTTTTTTTATAAACGAAAAAATATTAATCCATGCGAAAAAGGGGTAACATCGTCGGTAGTTTTTTTTTCACCAGGAGCTGGTACCACTGGCTCGAGGGAGCTCCAATCACAAGTCTCATCGCTCTCTCTCAAGAGACGTTTAAATTGACCGCGCTACCCCCAGCCGATCGGTATTTGGGACGTTGCTGCTCGTTTGGGCTGCATGCGCAGAAATTTCATTTTTCAGTACTTTTTTCGCTATTATTAATAAACAATGCTCCTAGGCGACAATATTTTTCACTCAAAAAATCATTGATCACATGTTCTAAATGTGTCTAAAGTTTCATGACTTTGGCTGCATTTTTTCCTTGGGTTTTGCAGTTTTTTTGGTGATTTCCATAAGATCACGGGTTAAATGACTTTTTCAAAAATTCATAATAAATTAACCATGCTCCCCCAGCAGTCTGAAACGTTGCACACGCCTTTTCCATCATTTAACGAATACGTAAAAAAAAGAAAAACATGGCTGCTTTTTTTCCAACCCTCCCAGCTCGCCCGATTATCCTTAAGTTCGGAGGTTGTTGTTGTCGCTATATGGTGTACCTACCTTAAGAGAAATAGTAGATTTCTAACCTACACTGAGAGAAAAACGACAAAGTTCTCAAACAAGTCTTACTTATGCCAAGAAAATAGTTTTTTGAAAATTATCAAAACCGGATTTTTTGTGCCGAATGTGCAGAGAATGCGCCGGAATGAAAAAATTTTGTCGCAAAAATAGATTTAGTAGTTTAAAAAAAATTGCATTCTCTGTACACGCACGAAAAAATTTTTTTATCATTATTTTACAAGACTTTAAACGGTTAGATCTCACCATTCTACCCGGCCAGGTTTTGAACTCGGAGTCTTTCGCACGTGAAGCAACGAACACACGCAAGAAATGTGATTTCTCGCACTACTCCTTCGTTGTTCGATACTCCCATACGTATTTTGTTCCCGAAAAATCTTTGCTTTATGCGAAAAAAGGGATAGTAGTTTTTTGTTTCGGCTGTCTAATAACGACAGACTACAAATGAACCCTTAAATGAAACACTAATAATGATATGATAGCAATCTCGTAACTTGGGGATAAAATATTTGTTGATAAATTTTCCTCTATATGAGATATTTTCATCCTGAAAAGGCACCGTCTGGTGTGAATTATCCGCCCCTTGAGCCAAATATTTCGTTGCTGTCGAAAGCAGAACAATTATTCATGTTTGAGACTTTTAAATTCGAACCAAACAAATTCTTTTTTGGCAATTTTCAACTAGCGATTTTGTTGGCCCAAAGAAGATTTGTTTGGTTTTCTCTCATTGTACGGAGGTAAAATAAAAGATTGGTGTCGACATGTGGAAATACTACTAGATCCGTGTTCTTCGCCTCGGCGTAGGCGCAAAGTCAGATTTTGCTTCCGCGAAGTGGGAGGGAAATGTAACTTTGCGCCCGCCGGGACGGAAATGAAGTTTTTCGTGGTTATACGGGGCAAAATCGATAGGGTCTCCGATTTTCCCTGGTTGTTCTCGTATTCCGTCATATATGACAAACTGTTCAATGGGTCCCAAGGCCCAGTGAAGACTTAAATTTCACTGACGTATTCCCATAAGAAGCGACAAATCAATCCAATAACCGTTTTGTTCCTTTCAGTATCAACCACGCAGAAGAAAGCCAAAAGTTGAGGATCAAATGACGATTCTGGCGCACCGGAGTACCCTCCAATCCTCAGTATCGCTGGACTCCCCGGGTTCTTCAGACTGCAGTTACAGCAGGCTCTACTCCGACATCAGCACAAAATCGTACGAGCGTTCAGTCCCCTACCCGGACCCCTCGAAACCCTACGAGCTTCAAAAATCCTACGTGGACACGATAAAATGTTCGGACCACCAGAATCGAACATACGAAGCCCTCCCCAAGTATGATCTACCCCCGAAAACTTACTCGGACCCCAAATGTCACGAAGTCCAGAATATCAAGTACTCCGAGAGCGGTGCCAGGTATCCAGAGCTGCAGGTGAAGGCCTACGATACTCTACCAAAGTATTCAGAGGCCAAGGGATATCAGGAGAGTCTGAAATATCCAGAGATGCCTAGCACAGCGAAGTCATACGCCTGCGTACATGGCCAGTATTTTCCTGCTCCCGAGGCCTACTCAGTTCACGAGGATAATGAGTACCAGAGTCAGAGTGTAACCACTCACTCATTCTACCCTTATATCTCTGCGTCCATGACACAACCACCTTATTACATGGGTCCTCGATAATGATACATTCAAATGATTATTGTAATTTGCATTGATCAATTATTCAACGTGTCCTAATAACACAAAGATATCTCAGAAAAATCATCGAAACGCGTATTTCAAAATTCTAAAGGAAAACTAGTCGATGTCAGATTTCGAGTTAGAATTATTGTAAACACTCACCTTGTTATTCACTCGATGAATGTATGAGTGCAATATCATGTACAAATGGTGTGAAATTTTACATTAGGAAAGAAAAATTTTCCGCTCAATGAATATGAGGTATTGTATGTCAAATCGGTCAACTTCTGAACTTTACACCCTCAGAAGTAAACGAAGATTTTTTCACAGGCTCGAGGGACTTAAAAAACTGTCTCGTGATTTTTTTCAGTTTTTTTCTACAGCCCGTATGGAAGATATGTCCAGAACTCGCGTTGTAATTGACCGATTTCGATTTATTTAATATCACAATATTTCTCTTCCTGCCACTTTTGAAAATTTGTAGGATTAATTTATTTTTTCAATCCCTAGATGGTAGCAATTATGAATTTTTGAAAAAAAAATTGAAAAACTTGAATTTTGCCAATTACGCCACGTTTTATTTTTTTTCTGACATGCAGTCTCATAAGTGGTTTGAACTGTACCGGAAATTCTGTAATAGATCTATTTGATTTTTAGAGTCTTCAAATTTCTAGAAAGTCTTCAGATAATGTTAATTATATTTTTGAAAGATGTTCATTTAATGATTCCATATATCCTTTATATGCATTCGGAGATTTGCAAATTTCCAACGGAAAACGGGGAATTTTGAGCAAGAAATTGAGAATAAAATAGATAGGACTTTGCCCAATTTTCAGGATGACCCAAAACACTGGTTTTTATTGTGAGAATGGATGAAAGAGAAAATAGGAAAATTTAACGTGATGTTATTAGCAATATTCAAGTCATTCACCTTTTTATTTTGAAAATTCATCATTGTCAACCAGTAGGGGTCAATTATTTTAGATTACGTTGCATATGACCTTGAAGCTTCCTTGTTTATTATGCTTTTTTTTATTACTTTAAATGAAGAAATGTATAATAATTTTCATTCATTTGCAACATCATTATTTTATAATTTAGACCGAACTTCATTTAGTGAAATTGTCATATGCCTGGAAAATTTCATTTTTGCAAAATGATTTACTTCTCTCAAATAAATATTTATTTGGCAGAAATAATGTTTTTCCTCGATGTATATATATAACCAAAGAGTTTTCACAGGAATTTTGAGATGGACGAATTTTGACTCACCTTTGTGTTATGAGGACTCATCAAATAACGGTACTCATTCATCCGCTTTCATCGTCTGAATTTATATTTTTATTTATGCTATGTGGATTTGTGAGGTAGTGATAAATGTTATTATTGAAAAGAATCCCACGATTTTTGATTAAAGATTGTTGACTTCACATTTATTTCTTTTCATTCAACCGTAGCCTTCGATGTCACATTTCATACTTATTATTACAAAATTGTATAAAACAAAGTGGTCTTGAGATTATCACGAGAAAGGTTCTAATTCAAAACATGACTGATTCGGAGTTGGCAAGAAAATAACATTGTCGAGTAGTGCTTGATGATAAAAAAAATCAAAGTCAATAATTTATAATGAAATTGTTGATTTGATTCAGTCGCTATGATCAACAAGATCGTCCATAGCCATTCAAAACTTTAAAAATTGAGTTGAAAAAACGATGGAGTGAACTTTGTTCTCATATACGTTTTTAATTTCAATCATAAATCTACTCCATCAAATAATATAATTGCTGATTGAAGGTATGGATATTTTCTCTTAACAATGATAGCCTATTCATTTTCCCTTGGCGCCTTCTAACAAAAAGTCAACATTATATTTTTAGATATTGAAAAATTGTACAAAACTGAAATTTTACTAGTGTCTCGCTCAAAAACATTCGATTCCATTTACAATTACATAACCAAAGATAAAAATACAAGCCAGTGCATTTCGAAGGAAGCTCAGCATCCTCAATAATTCAAAATTGACAACAACAGTACTACACCAATGAAGAACTAAAACAGATAATCGAGTTCAGCTTATACATTTACATTTATATACAGATTGATTCGGAGAGCAATACAGGATGTACATCTAAAAAAAATACTCTTTAGGTACAGAGTTTGTACTAAAGGACCAATTTCATGGCAGATCTGTTCGGAGGTAGGTTGTGTAAAGTAATTATCTACAGTAAACAGATCTCTTTCCACTTTTCCCTCGTAAATAATTGCCAATACACCTCAATACATCTAAAACTTACGGATCTCTACTAATAACAGCCGCGAGTTCCTTGATCTGATCTCTATTGGCGTGCATGAATGCCTTGGATGTCCAGATCATGTCAGCAAGCACCTCGTCATTCTTCTCATCCATGCAGACTTCACTGGACAACTGAGGATTGAATCTAAAGTATGGAATTCCAGTCATGGAGGCCCAGGTCCTAGCCCGATCGACAACCCTTCCATCGCTGCAGGTGGCTTGGTCGACCAGCAGAGTTCCAAGAGCAGAGATTCCCATACCAAGTTTCACAGTATCCCAAAGACCCTCTGGACGAAAAACATCAATATCCTTCAACGGAGAAACAGGCACAGCACCAGTGCCAACAGAAACAACGAGAGAGAGGGGTGTCATCTCGTCTTCACGTTGAACAGCATTCAAGGCCAGATTATACTCATGAATTTCAGTCATAGCATCGAGGGTAGGGTTATTAGCAATTAATCCACCATCTAGAAATCTTCCAAATGCCCTGAAGTACGAGGGAGCTGCTCCAGTGGCTCTTGCCGTCTTCCACAGCAGTTGTTCCTCAGGTGGAAATGTAGCTTTGAACTTTGAACCCTGGGGAACATTGAGAAGTGTGCTTGGAGATTCGTAATTCCTGAAGAGGTGGAGTTCCACTGGTTTTCTGTCAGCAAGAACCCCTGTTATCATCAGCTTGGGGTGTTTGATGTCTGACATGGTTGTGTTAGCACCTAAACTGTCCTTGAGGACTTTTTCAAGACTATCACTACTGTAGGGCCGAGATCCAACGAAGGCGTCCTGCTTAATACGAAAGTAGAGGGCTTGACACTCCCTGAGGGTCTTGCCAGAGGCGAGCCCCAGGGCTAGAATGCCTCCAGTCGATGTTCCAGCTATCCAATCGAAGCAAGCTACAACCGGTTTGCCTAGGATCTCCTCAATCTCTATGAGAACTTGAACGAGAACTAGTCCTCTGATTCCTCCACCATCGAGGCACAACAATCTACCACCTCTCAATTTCTTTGGCTTTTGGGATGCCATCTGCTCCATACTGGCAACGTACAGCATCTGATCTAAGATTGTCCTTGGAACTGAGGTTGGAGGTTCTGGGGGCGCAACCCCATTGTAGTTTTCATTAAATTTACAGCCCAGATTACAATCCCTCATGTTTGCCTCACATCTGCCGGCCCCAACTGCATGCAATGCGTAAAGAATCTTCTCTCCTTCATTGCTCTTCAGGTCCACAAGGTGTCTGGGAGTTTCACCCTTAAAGTTCTTGGCATTCAAATCCCCCCCAAAGCCTATCAATATTTGAACAATGGGCAATGTTCCACCTTTCCCCACTGCAACGTGCAGAGGAGTGTTTCCCTCGTTGTCCACTATGTTCACCGATGCCATGTGACTCAGCAGAGCAACCACACACTCCAGTCGCTTTCTCATCACCATAATGTGAAGAGCTGTTTTACCATCGAAATTCACTGCATCGATGTCGCAATTCATCTCGATCAATGCATTCATAACTTCTCTGCTTGAGGACCAGTGCAAGGGTGTTCCTCCGAACTTCATGTCCTCAGCAATTAGAGAATTGGGTTTAGTATTCAGGAAATCGCCAACGTAACTTGGACAGTTTCTGGTGCTCTCTGATGCTGACATGTTGACGTCAGCTCCGATTATCAGAAGTGCTTTGACGCACTCGGGTTTGTCACTCTGGCAAGCCACATGGAGTGGAGTTTGTCCAGCACTGTTTCTGCTGTTCAAAATATGAGGGAAATCAGATCCAAGGGCAAAGATTATCTCCTTTGTTGAGGCAGCTGCATAATGATAGACCGTGTTCGCATTCCAGTCCAAGTGTTCTCTAGAGCCACGTGCATTGATCAACTGCTGAACCATCTGCAGATTGTTGGTCTGGATTGCGACTTGCAGTGGAGAAATTCCGGATGTTGAGTCAGGGCTGTTGAGGTCTTTATTCACAATAGCGTGCTGGAAGGCGTCGTAAACTGCCAGGTAAGCAGCTAAATGGGATAATGTCCAATCCGGATGATTTGACAAGGCGTCGCAAATCTTTTGGATCTTTGGTACAGTACACAACTCCTTGCAGATCTGCACCAGTGGGGGTATTTTGTCTTTGTACACTGTGAACCGCGCCTGCACCACTTCTAGATTGTCAGCACGAAAGAGGCTGTAGGCTTGATGCAGTGTCTCATCGCAGGGACGATGTAGGATGATTTCGTACTTGTCGGTGTTCTTGTCCCTTCCAGGACCATACAGAACTATCCCATCTTCACGGCAATCTATGTGACGACTTCCGTATTTATCGGTTCTCACTTCCAGAACTACGTTTGGGGCTGTGTCACCAAACATCATTTTCCCAAACACGTTGTTCGCAATGTCTCCCAACCACGTCATCTGGAATTGAGTGAATTTAGTTAAGGGGAGTTCGCTGTGAAATCTCAAAGACTTTGGATATATGATGGCACATGTTAACACTTCGTTGGTCGCGCTGTGCACGGAAAGAAATTCTCTAGAAAAATACTAGTGCTAACACGGGAAAAAAGGCGCAAAGTGACCGCCAATTTTAGTGAAGAGCACGTGAATTTTTCCCGTTCTTAGATGAACTTTTCACAGGAATCCCCGGAAATTTTATTAGAAATCTCTAGAAATTTTGCCTTCACTACACTAGAATTTTTCATAGCCAGTGGATTGGAATTTTCCCATTGCAGTAAAGCCTCAGAAAAATTGGAAAAAATTAGACATCTCATTTTCAAGTGTCTAGAAGTCCTATCAATGAAAATATCCGCAAAATTATCACAAGTAGTTAGATTTAAAATTTTTATTCCGAAATTCCGGGCTGTGTACCGTGTATAAAACGAATTTACTCTTGATTTTTTTCAGATTTTTCTGAAATGGAGTGTTAAAAAGTCGGCAAAATGATGACTACAATCCATTCTGCCCCGTGAATCAACGAAAAACAGGTTTTTCTTACGATTGGCCCCATGTTTCCATAGATTATGTTTATAATAGTCCCCAACTATTGAAAAAAAAATGCTAACTAGCTGTATTACACAGCTAGCTTTTGTGTAAAAGACCGAGACAAGACAAACTGAGGCAAAAACCGAGATTTTACTTCAAAAAGCACGAAAAACTTGAGACCGAGATGAGATAAATTGACTCGGAATCATCACGAGAGGAGTCGATACTGCGTATTTCGAGACTGAGACGAGACCAAAGATTTCCGTGTTCATTGGGACCGAGACCATCTGTCCAAACTATTGTCTCGTGAAGTCCCACACGGAATCACTAATCGAGAGTGACTCCATGGCTATTATAATCAACTAAAACCTTCCAAGTTTCACCTTGGTACCCCCTCAATGATTTTGGTTTCTAGAGGTGCAATTGTGGTGTTAAATGGTCTAGAATAATTATGTAAGGTTCGTGTTCAACCATTGATTTTTGCAGGCAACCTTTCACGTTAAATGGAACAACGTAAAACCCGATGGATATCAAATATTCAGATGAAGGTTAGATCATGAAACGTTGCTGACAGTGTTTTCTTGATTTAAAAAATTTTTGGATACCTTAATTTAGTTTTATCCAGAGATTCTCCAGGCGTTTCACAGATTTTTTTTTTGGATTGTGCAAGGATATTGTTGCCTTCGTCTGGACCGTACAAGGTTCAGTAGAGGAATCGCTAACCTCCAGGTACAAGATCTTTTTTTGATTTTGACAGGTCGTTAGTGGGGAAGAAGGTTAAGGATATTAAAGTTCTATTCATTCTCTGCAGATGCCTCGTCAATCTGTTTCCGCGGGTTTTCTATTGAAGCGGTGGATGATATTGGAGACACTAGGAATTTATTTTATCAACCTGTGATGATAACAGTCGGTAAGCGAATTATCTGTTTGGTGTTTTTTTTTTACTGTTTACAATTTAGTCACAAAGTATTCGGGGTATTTCGGGGTGTGGATGAAGTCATTTTCTTAATGCTATCCGGAGAATTTGTCACTTGACACAATGACGTGAATTAATTACGCTGCTTGAACTCACAAACTATTCGGTTATTTTAATATTCAGGGTGCCTGACGATTATTAAGAGAGTTGTCTGGGTCCATCCACTTGTCTCGTCTGAGGATAATTGTCGAATCGTGGGAACAAAACTTCAACTATTCTGCATAGATATTTTCGCGTTCAATTCATAGAATTATACGTGATTCATAGAACGCACCAGCCGTTACGTCTAATTCATAGAATTATACATAATACGATATATGATTACGAAAGGTAAGATGGAAAATTATAGCAAGTTTAGAATGTTATCACCTGTAATTATGAATATTGAGAGCGAGCGTTGATGTTCTTGGCTAATTAAAAAGGAATTTCGATTTTGCGGTTGTAAAGACACTGATAGAAAAGGTGGAACGATTTAGTTGCTGTTAACTAGACGTGGTAACTATTTCCACGATTCGTTAACTATTAATGAATCGTGATGATAGTTAGGAAGCCAACGACGGCGGTGGCTGTGTGGTTAGAGTGTGGGATTGGCATGCGGGAGACCCGGGTTCGATTCCCGGCTGGGGGGGCAAAATTTGTGACACTCTAAATCTCACGGTTTCATTGTCCAGCGGGAGTTTCGCAAGAGACGACTGTACCTGGGCAGGTTTTTCCCTCAAATGAGGTTTTCCCTTGTCCTTCGGCGAATGCGGTACAGGGGGTTGGGGGGTGGGAACGGAACAAATCGTAAAGACCCGAAAGGGCATACGAGAAGAAAAAATTTAGTTAAGAAGCCTCGTTAATAGCAATTAAATTGTTCTATCAGTGTAGACGTGTCTCGCTGTCTTTCATTCAGGGTCATTGAGAGATCAGTGTGAACCCTAGACTCGAACAATTGGGTCGGTTTTTCGCCTGATTTGTCCAGGGATGGTCGCTTAAAGACCTGAAAATTGCATACGACGGCCAAAAACCTAACACGGTTTCATAATTACTTTGATCTGCTCAACGCGTCCTTACACGGGGGGAATTAAATAGTAAACATCACCATGGCCGTAGGAGAGACTGCTATGGTAACATAGTAAAAGAGTTTTCAAATGTCCCTACATAGTAATCCTTACTATGTCCCACGGTAATGCTTACCATGTTACATGGTAGTATTTACCATGTCACATGGTAATATGCTTACCCTATTAAGCGTTACTATGTTAACATAGTAAAGCTTACTATGTGAACATAGTAAACAACGCAAAGCTTTACTACGTTACATATTAAGCTCTACTATGTTCCATAGTAACACATGTTGACGTATGGTAACGCATAGTAGCACTTAACGTAGTAAAGCTTACTATGTAACATCGATGTAAGCGTTACTATGAAGTAAGTATAGCTATGTTACTATGTAACATAGTAATTATTGCTATGCCCAAAGTTCCTATTACAATTGAGGAGCTTACTATGCCCCATTACCATTATGATGTTCCATGGTAGCACGGGTGAAAAAATTTAATAGAAAAACCTATCGAATTCCGTTCGAAAATTCTATTGAATTTCTATTGAATTGTTCTATTAGTTTTTGTCCGATTCTATTGAAATGCTCAATAGAAAATATTCAGTAGAAAAAGTCAATAGAATTCAATTTTTCTATACAACTTATTCTATTGAGATATTTTCTATAGAATTTCCTCGGCTCAAATTTTCTAAGTTTTTTCATTTGATTTTCTTGATGAGAAGAAAATAAAAATAGAATGAAAAAAACTTGGAAAAATTTGAGTCGAGCAAATTCTATAGAAAAGAATAAGTTATATAGAAAAATAGAATTCTGTTGACTTTTTCTATTAAATTTTTTCGTGCGTGAACCATTACATTACTATAGTAGTACCTACAAAACTTTGGTAACGTTTACTATGTCCGGATTCCGACGTAGTAATCTTTACTATTTTATTTTCTCCGTGTACTGTTCGTCGAATATTTAAGAGAAATTTTTAATTGTTAAATTTTAAAATACTTCAACATATGCGAAACTTTTGAAAAAATTCTCCAAACTTGAGCTTCGAAAAATTTGTGTCCATAAAAATTTACTAAAATATAACAATTATAAAAAATTCGACATTTATTGTAAATTATAACTGCAGTTCATGCCACCACGAAATTACAAAAAAATTTTGTTTTCATTCTCAAGTATATTGTTAAATTTTGACATTTTAGCATTTAGGGATGCGTAATTTGTTTGTTAATAAATAAAATGTTTTTAACTTTCTCTAACGTTCGGTCAAAAAATGACCGAATACCGACCAACGTAAAAAAAAGCCTCCAGACCCAGTCGGCTTTCGGCCTGAGTCAGTTCAAGGCACTGAATTCATCGAAGACCAAATTTTTCGACTCGGGTGGCAGAAGTATGGCTCGTGTTCAGATTCAAGTGTATTAATGATAGAAAAACAAAATCGAGAATTTCACAATCCGATATCGACATAGTAATGCGACGAGTACGATCAAATATGATAATTTAAGCTTTCGAATGAAGGATTAAAACTTCAACCTGAGAGTTTCATTTTTTTGTGGAGTGCGATGACTTCAATCCGACATTCTTCTTGGCCAAGACACTATTAATTCGTAAATATGGAGAATTTTCGAGTATTTTTCAAGGAATTAATTTAATCATATGAATTTTTGTGGTGAAACCAACACCTGAATCAATTTATTATTTACCGTTAGTCTCTCGATAACGAATGAAAATATTATTGAAAATTTGATGAATAGCATTAACTGTAATTAAGAGATGAATGAACATAGTTTTTCTCAGTTCAAAGGTGAGGAAACACTTTCAAAGAGTCTGGAACTCTTACTTTACCCAATTCTCACATCATCAAAGGAGACCCTTTTTGAAGCGGTGCCTTTGATACCCATCTATATTGGCCTTTTGATTTGCATAGACCCTCGAAGTGATGAATCCGAGAAAAATAAAGCGGGTTCAGTAGCTTACTGTTGTTTTCCCCTTTGATTCAAATCAGTCCCCTCAAAATCATGCCAGATTCTTCACTCAGATTATCGAGTTTTATGGTAATTAATCAGGTTAAAGTAATTGCGTTGAACAAAGCTTTGTGGAGGACATGTATACGGGGAAGAAGATTTTCCTCACTGCCTCGAAGATCAGAAATTCATGTTCTGCTGGACACAAAATTTATTTTTGAATTGTTCTTGTAGAATAATTGATGATTAACTCTATTTTTGAAAAAATGCAGATAGCAAGTTGAAATTTCGTACGATTTTAGCTCTTTGGATGGGGGGAATCAGCTCAGTGATTTCGGAGATATTCAACTTTTTGTATGAATCTATGGTAATGTGCTGGTATAGCAGGCTCATATTTTTCAGATTTACTGATGGGTAAATATTAAAGTTTATATGTAAATCTTGAAGTATATCGACGTAAATTAGTTCGAAACCTGGTTTCTATAAACGATATTGACCTCTTTAACCATCACACTTAGTCACGTGGATGCTCATTAAGATATACGGTCCCTCCCATTCTACGGTTTTTCTTTTGAAAGCATTTTTTTAATTTCAACGTCGAGGCAAAAAACACCGTTCTAACTACGGGAAATGAAATAAAGGACCCTTACCCAGGTATTTACCACCCTACTTCCGCACGTGCGCACGACTCCTTTATTTTACCTTCCTAGGTTAGAAATATACTATTCATGACTATTCATGACGAATGGTAGTGAAATTTTGCCGAACGCGTTCCGTAAAAATCATTCTCCGTTACAGAAAAATTATCCGAAATATTGAACAATTAGTCACGTTCACTGAGAATTTTTGATGGAATGCACGGTAAATTTCACAGTTTCGGAACAAAGTACCCTCATGTTCACACGGAGAGAATTTTTCTAGAAAAATTCTAGTACGAGTACTGGAAAAAATTACAATCCACCGGCTGTGAAAAATTCTAGTGCTGTTAAGGTAAAATTTCTTGGTACTTCTGATAAAATTTCTGGGTATTTCTGTGAAATTTTCACAGAAATACGGGGAAAATTCATGTTGTCCCCAATAAAAATGTTTGCCGTCACTTTGCGCCCCTTTTCTCGTGGTAGCACTAGAATTTTTCTAAAAAATTTCTCTCCGTGCAGTGAATTTTCCCGGGCCAACGGAGAATAATGCACTATTTGTCGCGCACTTTTTCCCTGATATACTTTACTTGGGTAATTTTCTTCACAGCAAAAAAGAATATCTGAATTTCACACACCTTTTGTAGACATTTTCAGACACTAAAAAACGTCAGAATGAAATGAAATCTTGTCTGAATTTGAGACGAACCGGTGCCTAAACATCTTAATTCATGTTTGAAATTCAGACAAATTTTCATTTTTTTCAGACATTTTTTAGTGTCTGAAAAATATCTACAAAAGATGTGTGAAATTCAGACATCAGTTTCTGCTATGTTCCAACTTTTTTCTCTGTGTGGAAATAAAAAAAAGAAAACGACTCATAATACAAAAAGTAATGGCCACATGCCTTCTGTCCGATGGGCTCGAACCTCTGTTCGTTCTTCCTTCTTTGAAGTAGTAAAAACTGAACTCAATGATGACATTTGAAATGTGAAATATATTTTAAACAAAATGCTCTCCAGTGGGTTATTTGCGGCTTTTCCAAGCATCTACACTGCTGGCAGAGACTTCATAAAGTTCATTTTTCAATTGCACAACTTTCGAAACTTGTCTCCTTAACCGATATTATCCA